TTCAAGGCCATTTAATATAAAGCTCTTATCAAAACGAGATGTAATTAATTCTGGGTACTTATTTAACCAAAATGAAATGGCTTCTAAACCTAGTTTATGGGGTATATTTGTGTACAAACTAACTATGTCAAATGAAACTAAAGTTGTACTTTCTTCAACTTTCTCTGGTATGATATTCAGAAAATCAATATCATCTCTCAAGTAACTTTTCACTTTTCCCACAATAGGTTTTAATAAATTTTCAAGAAAAGAACTTAAATGGCTAGTTTCACATTGAGGACCAGCAACTATAGGTCTAAATGTTAAGTCTTCCGGATTAAGTATTTCAATATATTCAGAGGATTTTGATTTGCATATTTCTGGAATAATCTTACTTTTATGAATTTTAGGAAGTCCGTAAAATGTACTTGGTTTTGTTATAAACAGGTAAAAGGTACAGCCATGGGGACAAAGGTTGCTCCAACATATGCAACACTTGTACTAGGTTATTTAGAAGAAAAATTGTATTCAGAAATTATCAAACAGAAAGGTGAAGATTTTGCTAATTATATTCAATGTAACTGGACAAGATTTTTGGATGATTGTTTTATATTTTGGCAAAGATCTCTAACGGATTTATTATATTTTGAAAAAATACTTAATTCACTTCATAAAGATATACAATTTAAGAAACAACAAAGTACAGACAGACGTCCGTTTTTAGATGTAATGGTTATTAAGAAACGAACATATATAGTCACTGATGTATATTTTAAAAGTACCGATTCTAAACAATATCTAAATTTTAAATCGTGTCATCCAAAACACATTAAAACAAATATCCCGTTTTCGCTAGCAAGGAGAATATGCTCGATTGTATCGGATAAGGAAATACTAAAGATTAGACTTAAGGAACTCGCCATCACTTTAATTAAAAGAAAATTTCCAATTCAACTTATAAAAACTGGTATTAAAAAAGCTTTGGAGATTCCTCGAACCACCTTACTTCAAGTTAAAGAGCAATCAAAAAACAAAATTCTTCCATATATTTCAACATGTAACCCGAAAATCAGAGAATTGTTTGGCATAATTAAAACAAACATGGAAATTCTGACACATGATGAAAAAATGAAAAAGATAATAAGCAACACCAACATAATAAAATGCAAAAGACAATTACCAAATTTAAAAAGCATTTTAATAAGTTCAGAATTTAAAGACAACAATATAATACCCTGTGTTAAAAAATGCAACGAACAGAGGTGTGGCCTCTGTGATTATTTAATAGAAGGATATTCTTTAAAACTTCAGGATAAAATATTTCATACAAAAGAAAATATGGACTGTACTGTTGAAAATGTTTTATATGTTTTAGTTTGCAACGGCTGCAAAGAATTTTACATAGGCCAAACAGGCGACAAACTCAGAAACAGAAAAACTGTTCATGCTCAGCAGATAAGAGACCCATCAACAAGACAATTACCTTTAAGTGAACATTTAGATAAATGCTCTAAAAAAGACCCGAAATTTTGTATTTTCCCATTTTATAAATTTCACAGTAAAAACGTTTCAGCTAGGTTATGTAAAGAACGCTATTTTATTGATGTTTCTAATCCAAAACTTAATACTATATTATGACGTTACTATTTTTAGATTATGCGTACACATGTGTACACTAAAACGTCGTTACTATGCGACGACGTCATATTTGCCCTGATGATCATAAGAGAAACCGGTTGGCAAATAATTAAATAAGTTAACTCATGGACTGTGTTTTTTGTTTTATATATATATATATATATTTATGTGCATCTGTTTATAGAGAAGCACTGACCCTGTGGACTGTGTATGGGGAAATTCATAAGCAAAATCATGATTGATTGAAAACGGGCAAATTTATTTTGCCGAAAACAACATAATTACATACATATAAAATAATTTTCCCATATCTGGGTGAACAAATACCGCCAAAACGGGCAAATTTATTTTGCCGAAAACAACATAATTACATACATATAAAATAATTTTCCCATATCTGGGTGAACAAATACCGCCTAACAATAATATACATAAACAACAACAACAATAACATACTTATCTAAGTTAATGAAGGAACAGTAATCTGTCAAAAATTATTTTAAGACTCTAGTTAATAAAGGAACAGCATAACTGTCAAAAATTATTTTAAAATTAATACAAAACATCGTTTCAAAATTAATATTGACTATTGGTAACCCTTGAGAAAAACATAGCGGAGGAGGAAAACGGGAGGTGGGGGAAAAATTAAAGCAGAGCAAAAATGTGCGTGTTTTTCCCCTTCAAAAATTTTTCCAAAAAGGGCCGATCCCGTTGATTGTTTGGTTTTTGAGGCACGTGGTTAAGGGTCCTCAGTTTGGCTGAAAATATACATTGGAGTATTTTGATTTATAGTTTAACCCTACATTAAAGAGCTTTTGTTTTCTGATTGTTAAACATACAAAAAATTTTTATCTATCTAAAAAAATTTATGGCTCTTTTTTATGGGAAGCCGATTGGACGTGTATGGGGAAATTTAAAAAAAATCATGATTGATTTGAAACGGGCAATTTATTTTGCCAAAAAAACAAAATTACTACATATAAATTTTTCAAAAATCGGGTGAACAAATACCCCCAATAAAGCCCGGAAACTGTTGGACTGGTGCCCCCGATAACGGGGAAAAAGATAAAAATTTTTTATAAGTCCCCATCCCTTAAAAATAAGAGTGCATATAAAAATTGACTTTGAAAAAAATTTAAATATCGAAAACCTTTTTAAAACCCCGGGGGTATGAAATTTGAAAAAAATAAAAATTCTAACAGGAATACTCTTCGCTGCCCCAAACCCGAGCAAGTTTAAAGAAAAGGATAAAACTGGAGAAAAGGCAATGACATTTTAAAAATTCAAGAAAAACACTAGCTCGCTCTCGAAGTCAGTGAAATTAAGTTTATATGAACATAATAAAATTTCAAAATGTGACAAATGGCTCACTGCCTCAGACAGTCGAGTGAAATAAGGTACTATATCAAGAACATACTAAAATTACCAAACAGAAGACAATTTGCTCACTGCCTCAGACAGTTGAGTGAAAATAAGTATCATAATATGAACATAATAAAATTTCAAACATGTGACAAATAGCTCGCTGCCTCAGACAGTCGAGTGAAATAAGGCACTATATCATGAACATAATCAAATTACCAAATATGAGACATTTTGTTCGCTGCCTCGGACAGTCAAGTAAAAATAAGTATCAAAAGATGTACATAATGCAAATTTCAAACATGTGACAAATAGCTCACTGCCTCAGACAGTCGAGTGAAATAAGGCACTATATCATGAACATAATAAAATTACAAAACCTGAGACAATTTGCTCGCTGCCTCAGACAGTCGAGTGGAAGTAAGTATTATATAATGAACAACAATGTGACAAATAGCTCACTGCCTCAAAGACATCGAGTGAAAATCAGGCAAAATAAAATACAACCAAACATGAGACCAATTTTGTAATAATGTAACATCAATAAAATTTAAATATGTGACAAATAGCTCGCTGTTTCAAGACGTCTAAGTTAAAATAAGGCAATTAATCCATAAATTACTGAAACTGAACCGTTTGCTCGCTGCCTCAGACAGTTCGAGTGAAACTAGCTTTATATCGGCAATAAGAAAAATTAAAGACGTGACAATTTAGGGCTCGCTGCCTCTGTAGTCCGTAGTTAAAATAAGTCGTAAAGTGACATTCCTTAATCTATACGAGAGAAGTTTTAGATATCTATTTTGCCTTAATAATTAAATATAATCATGCGACAATTTTATTCAAAGCATGTGCTCCAAGTCTTCACTGCCTCAGACAGTTGAGGGAATTGCAGCTTATCATAAAGATCATACATGGAGCTCCACTCCTTAATAAAATTATGTATAGTAAGATGTATAAATATATATAATGCTCTAGTAATGACACATGAAATTGTAACACTTATGTAGTATGTAGATGCCTATACCGTCATTGAGTATGAAAATATCACCGCGTAAAACCCGGTTGTACTACAATAACAATCTAAAATGTATATTGTACAATAAACTTTGCTGCCTCAGACAGTCAACAATATTATCAAGTGTACAATAAGGATAGAGTGGACTATGCATAGGCCCTAGCCATACTTTTAATTTGACAATTAGTATTGAACTTGTCTGTACCCAAAGTGAAATCCTTGAATTTGTTACAAAGGACCTTATTTGATTGGTCCCTTAGAAAGGCTGGGCCGCAGATATTTTGGTATATGCTTGTGAAGACCAACGGCCTAACTGTTGGATTTGTGTATTAGAGAAATTCAGGTCATGTGCTAAGGTTGCCCTCCGATTCGAAAAGAGGTGAGATGTATATTTGGTAGGATCTAGTCGCTTTCTACTAGACAGCGTTTTAGCATACGCCTAAAGAAAGATGCTGTACCGGGTGACCACGTACTAAAGCGGAATAACGGGCCATTACACGAGGAGATCTGACTGACATAATTAAGCTAATGTGCGTACAGGACAAAGTTGTCTGTGTTTTGACCTACTCAGCACAAATTTTTGGCTGTCTGGCCTTTTGAATGCTTAAAATGAGTGAGATGGATGGAGGCACTATTGAGCCGAGACTTATCATATTGAAAAATGAACATTTCAAGTTTAACAATATTGGCCTTTTCCCGTTTTGGTGACTGAAATTTCTCCAAGACGAAGCAAGGCATAGAAAGCCACCAGGTACAATCGTTTTCAGTAGGAGCTTGGTAAATGGATTTGCAGTAATTTTGCTCAAAGATTGGATTAATGACCTAAGCAAAGGAATAGTGAAACCGTGACGTTTGTCCGAGACCCTTAGTTTTTCCTAATACTGTATAACAGTTTCTTAATAATGAAAATGCCTTAGAAGGATTTCTTAACCTGTGAAGACGATGAAGTATAGGACAAAGCTGATATCCAAGTTGATATAGTCGGCCGGTTTAAAGGCCGGGCCTATCAGTGGCATACTGCAATGAACTGTGCCATTTTATAAGTTGGAATAGGAAGAAGGGAGCCTTTGAACTTAGTGTAGTAAGTATTATGAAAACGGCTATACTGTTTGAAAGCATTTCGGTAACTGTTTCTTGTGGACGGTGCCAGGGATTTTAATAGTATGTGTAAGACCGAAGAGTTCAGTGAAGAAGCAGCAACTGTTCTGGTATTTTGGTAGGTTGGTCGTCCATTTGTGGTGCCAAAAGGCGGAACTGTTTGACCTGTAAACGTGAAAGGAGATCTGGTAAAACATTATCCTTTCCTGGTATATGTTTAGCCTGTATCAAAATATTATGTTGCATGCATGTTAAAACTAAGCGCCGAACTAACTTCATAACAACAGAATCTTTGCAAGATTGTTTTGTTGATAATATGAACTACAGCATAATTATCTGAGTGTAAGATAATACATTTGTTTTTTAAAATTGTACCCCAGATTTCCAATGCTAAAACTATAGGAAAAAGTTCTTTAAATGTGATGTGGAATGATGTCATATGGTTTGGCCATTCCCCATAAAACCAACTATTGTTAAAAATAGCTCCATATCCAAGTGACCCAGCAGCATCAGTGTGTAAATGTAATGAGGGACTTGATAACCACCGTTGTTTAAGAAGGACATTTTTGCCATTAAAATGTTGGGTAAACAAAAACCAAGCTTTGAGATCCCGCCGACTATCGGCTGACAAAGTTATCCTATGTGTAGGTTTTGAAACTTTTACTGTTAAATTGATTAAACGCCGTAAGAAACAACGGCCTGGTATGACTACTGAACAGCAAAAATTTCAGAAGACCAATTAAAGATTGTAAATCCTTAAGTGTTATTTTTTTTACGACCTGTATGATATAATAATAGAGACCTTAACTTAGATAGCTTATCTTGGGGAAGACGAGCCTCCATAGTTATGGAGTCAAGTTCTAAGCCCATGAATACGATGACTCGACGGGCTGACTCGGTTTTCTCTTGTTTTATTGGGACACCCATGACTTTACAGAGGTTAAGAAATTGATCTAGATGACCTTGACAAGCCTTAAAATCATGACCAAAGAAAGAAAAATCGTCCAATATGTGGACAATGTGAGGAATTTTTAACTTGTTGGTAGCAATCCATTGAAGAGAAGTGCTAAAAGCTTCGAAAATGGAACATGAACTAGATGACCCCATCGGGAGGCATGTATCATAGTAATATTTACCTTGAAAGCTAAACCCTAAAAGCTCATGATCCGAGGTATTAACCTGAAAGCATTGTGAATATCAGTCTTTGCAAAGAAACAACCAGGGCCATATTTTAACAGAGTTGCTACCGCATCATCAAAAGAGGCATATTTAACCGTAGCTAGGTTTGGGTCTATGTGGTCGTTTATTGATGAACCTTTTGGATGGCTTAAATGGTGAATAAGACGAAAGTCGCCGACAGTTTTCTTTGGAACTAAGCCAATTGGGCTGATATGGAAATTAGGAAAAGGCCTTTCATGAAAAGGACCTTTAATGCGTTTTGCGTAGATTTCTGCTTGAAGCTTTTGTAAAACCACATCGGGAAGTTCTGAACAGGACTTTAGATTGGAGCATGATGTAGATTGACGAGGACCAATGTAACCTAGCTTAAAACCTATTGTGAAACCATTAATTAAGTATTTCCGGTTTGGGTAACCTTGCAAGTATGTAGACAAAACAGAAACCTTAACTGGTGTAGTAACCTGGCCAACCTTATTTTTTGGGAATACGGTTGACTGTGGGAGTGTTTTGAGATTTTGTGGCCTGACTAAAGGAGGGACTGGAGGTAATGGCCTGGTCTTTATTAGTAAATGAGCATTGGCCGGCGTAGTGGGCCCCCCTACAGAATCCACAGACATGAGGCCTGGAGCATCGGGGTTCCCGACATAAACCTCGTCTGTTGAAGGTCCAGCAGGTATTTTCAAGGAATTTAGAGGGTTTCCTGTAACTATAACCGGATTTGAATTGCCTACTGGACCCTGTACGAAAGGGCCGATTACTCTGAAATGACCCATTATGATGGGGTGCCAGTTGAGAGGTTGCCATGACCCAGAATTCTGTGTGAATCCTGTCCCATGGCATTAGCTCCCTTTCGCGAAACATGCGAAATTGGTTGTCATAGAATGACCATCCCAAACCTTGACGCCGACGGGCCAAATCTCTCACTATTTCCCCATATTTCATTAATTGAGGCATTTCATGGGGAAAAGTTGCAGCATAAATGGCTGAAAACCTTAAAAAGGCTGTTGTCCATGTTTCAATGGACTGGATTTTTCTGGAAGATGAATTAGGTACCAAACTTAAATGGTTATTAGCATTTAATGTTAAAGAATAATTTTCAGCTTGGGGCAAGGCCATGTTTGGCAAAAGGCGAGAGAAGTCCACAAACTTGTTAGTTTGGATTTTTTTAATGACCGACTTTGGTATGGAATGCGAAATGGGGGTGGAGACTGGTTCGACAAATTGTGTCATTTCTAGAGCATTACCTGTAATGTAATTTGAATGGGACGATATTATGTCCCTGAAATTTATAAAGCCTTCGTCATTATCACTCTCTTCCTCGTCTGAGGATGTTGACTTTTCTGAGGTTGAGGTTTCTTCATCCTCCGATACCTGCAGGACTTGAATGTCATTTTCCTCCTGATTGAAATTAGAAGATGGCGACTGATGAGGGACTGTACCCCTTTTCCTCTTCTGGTGTGATCTGCTTACAGCCTGTTTGTTTTTATGAGTTATATCACCTCCCCCTGCTAGTTGGGCAGCTTGCTGTGTTGAGCTTTGACTGGATTTTTTTACCCCTGAGTGACTTTTGATCATTTTTGGTCTTTTTCCTGCGAGTTTGCCCATTGTTTTCCAAATGAGCCGTCGTCGGACTCTGTACATCATCTTTATTACTATTAGAACAGCATGGCATATTACAATGGCTCACTGTGGCCGAACGTTTATTGCGTTTCATCTGAAAGAAAAAAGCCAGAGTAAACCAACACTATTTTTTCTGGTTATATCCTGTAGAAAATATTATTTTTCATCAGACAAACAAAATAATAAATAAATTCAAATAATCTGGAACATCAGACATAGTCTGGAAACAGTAAAATACTGCGTCATCAGAAAAAATTCTGGAAACAATAGATAAATATAAATACATCAGAACATAGTCTGGAACATCAGAACATAGTCTGGAGAATCATTACTAAATGTTGTAGCCCCAGAATAAAATCTGGAACATAAAAACATAGTCTGGAACATCAGAACGTAGTCTGGAACATCAGAACGTAGTCTGGAACATCAGAAAATAGTCTGGAACATCAGAACATAGTCTGGAACATCAGAACATAGTCTGGAACATCAGAACATAGTCTGGCAATTGATATATAAGCATGGTAACATCAGAACATAGTCTGGAACTTCACAGTCTAGACTGGAAAATCGAGCATGTTATTTCCGGAAATTAATTGACTGCCCTTCCTTGTCGAGACGTGGTATTTGTTTAATAATTTACTAATTGAGACCTTACAGACTGATTAAGAAGTGCTTCAGATGAAAACCTTCAGAAAGTTGTACTCTAATTTAAAAGGCCGTGAGTAAATATAATATAATGGCTAAAAGTATATTTGGCTAAAAGCCAAAAAAAAATTAAATTGAGCTTGAAAAGCAAATGTTGAAACACCAACCCAAAACTGACCTTTAGGTAAAAGGCCTATTTTTGTATTATACACATTATAATATATATCTAATATGTTAACAAGCTTGACCTTGAATTGAGTACTAAATATTGATGCGGTTAAATTTGTTAAGTGTTCAAAACTTGTACATATTAGAACATTTTTCCCGGATATGAACATATCCAGATATACACAAGTTTATACAATAATACTGTATGTAAATGGAAAATGACTACCCAAAAAGCTGTATACCGCTTGTTCTGTAACAATATGAATTATATCAAACAGTTATATACCAATCTGTATATCTATTAATTAGTTATAAAAGCATAGATCACACAGGTATCGCCTTATTAAAGGTGACTGTATGCATATAAACAAATTTGTAAAATCTTGTAAACTTTAAACTTGTCATTCAGCTTGTGAAAATAGATGGAAAAATGAGTTCATCCAAGTGACTTGGACGACCCCTACAAGCATAAACTTCTAGAACAGAAAAATGAAATGGAATACATATCTTTCATATCTCTAGACCATTATTTAAAGTGGCAACCACTGCAGCACGGATGTTAGAGTACAGCTTCTTTTGACCCATGACGGACAAATGTACCCCATCTAATGCAAAGACCTGAGACTGCGCTTCTGGAGACCAAAATCCCTTTAAACGCCAGAAAGTGGCACGGCCATGGGGCAATGCTTGAATGTTCGTTGACAAGATGTAATTTGTCTCATCTACACGATTATTAAACCATGTTGTATCAACGTGATGATGTGTTGACTGTGAAGGCCGTCTGTGTAATATTTGGCAGCAGATCACCCTTTTTACGTTTCCCAAGAAAAGTAAACTATCAATTAAGTCTAATATTGCTGCGGAAACACTGACATGGTCAACATCCGGTTGACATAAATCATTTGTCCCAATCAAAAGTACAACAATATCTGGAGCGAAATCCGTAATGTCCGTAAAATTCCTCCGGAGTGTTTCCACCTTAGCTCCTGAATAACCCGAATATTGTACCAACGGGAGCGAAGTTAAGTTTAAGTTAAAATGAAGATGTGGTTCATTCCGTAGAAAAGATTTCAGACGGGAAACAAAGGAATGACCAAATATCTGGATCGATGCCGCCATATTGAATCAGGCACTGTTATATCACAAAGGCACTGTTATCACACAAAGCCTCAAAGGATGACGTCACTCGTTGTGCACAATGAAAATACAAACTCATCCAATTTCCTAAATTAAGAACATCCGTGTTGCAGCGATTTTATATGCAAAAGTTAAAGAAGGATGAATGTAACGTTTTACCGTTAACTTCCAGACGTAACAATGTGTGAAAACTTGTAAATTTAAAATTATAGCAGAGCAGATGTAGCGTGCTTTTCCCTTCTAAAATTTTTTCCAGAAAGGCCGATGCCGTTGATTGATTGGTTGTTAGAGAGCACGTGACGTTAAGGGTGCTCTCAGATTGGCCAATGCCAAATATACATTGAGAGTCAGTTTGATTTACTAGTTTAACCTACATTAAGAGTCGGTTTGATTTACTGATTGTTCAACAATGACATAAAATATTTTATCTATCTATAAAATACATATATGTATGTATGTATTATGTCTTTGAAGTGTTGGGATTTTAATGTCTAAACATATATGTTTAATGACCCTCAAGTGTTGGACATCCCAATCCTTGAGGGTCATTAAAGAAATATCTTGCCTAGACGTTAAAATCCCAACACTTGAGAGACATAATACATATATCATGTCTATACCGGTATGTTGAAATCCAACATTTGAGAGACATAATAGTTAATTATATAATATTAATATATAATATATCTTGTCTATTTGTTGAAATCCCAACACTTGAGGGACATTATAGAAATATCTTGTCTAGACGTTAAAATCCCGACACTTGAGAGACATAATACATATATCTTGTCTATATGTTGAAATCCCAACACTTGAGGGTCATTATAGAAATATCTTGTTTAGGCGTTAAAATCCCAACACTTGAGAGACATAATACATATATCTTGTTTATATGTTGAAATCCCAACACTTGAGGGTCTTTATAGAAATATCATGTCTATATGTTTAAATCTCAACACTTGAGAGATATAATACATATATCTTTTTTATATGTTGAAATCCCAACACTTGAGAGAGATAATACATATATCATGTCTATATGTTGAAATCCCAACACTTGAGGGTCATTATAGAAATATTTTGTCTACACATTAAAATCCCAACACTTTAGAGACATAATACATATATCTTGTCTATTTGTTGAAATCCCAACAATTGGGAAACATTATAGAAATATCTTGTCTACACATTAAAATCCCAATACTTAAGAGACAAAATACATATATCATGTTTAAATGTTCATATCCCAACACTTGAGGGACATTATAAAAATATCTTGTCTAGACGTTAAAATCCCAGGACTTGATAGACATAATACATATATCATGTGTATGTGTTGAAATCCCAACACTTGAGTGACATAATACATATATCTTGTTTATATGTTGAAATCCCAACACTTGAGGGTCATTATAGAAATATCATGTTTAGACGTTAAAATCCCAACAGTTGAGAGACATAATACATATATCTTGTTTATATGTTGAAATCCCAACACTTGAGGGACATTATAGAAATATCTTGTCTGGACGTTAAAATCCCAAGACTTGAGAGACATAATACATATATCTTGTTTACATGTTGAAATCCCAACACTTGTGGGACATTATAGAAATGTCATGTCTAGATGTTAAAATCCCAACATTTGAGACTAATTATAATTATATCTTGTCTTCATGTTGAAATCCCAACACTTGAGGGTCATTATAGAAATATCTTGTCTACACATTAAAATCCCAACACTTGAGAGACATAATACATATATCATGTCTACTGTATATGTTGAAATTCCAACACTTGAGGGACATTATAGAAATATCTTGTCTAGACGTTAAAATCCCAAGACTTGATAGACGTAATACATATATCATGTGTATGTGTTGAAATCCCAACACTTGAGAGATATAATACATATATCTTGTCTGCATGTTGAAATCCCAACACTTCAGAGACCTCATACATACATCGTGTCAATATGTTTAAATCTTAACACTTGAGAGACATAATACATATATCTGGTCTACATGTTGAAATCCCAACATTTGAGGGTCATTATAGAAATATCATGTCTAGATGTTAAAATCCCAACACTTGAGAGACATATTACATATATCTTGTGTCTGTGTTGAAATCTCAACATTTGAGAGTCATAATACATATATCTGGCCTATATGTTGAAATCCACTTTCAAGAGAACACTAAATGAGTCATTATACACGTCTTGACAAGACATATATGCTTGTTCAGCAAAATAAAATGTAAACATATGTAAGTATTTAATTATATTTCGTTTGTAATATATCATTTACAACTGTATCGCCATTGTTATTTTACTTTATGTTTTTTTTGTCTGTTTACTTTCTTTATCGTCCGCGGGTGTCCTATATATGCACGTAAGAATAGTTTTAGATGAAGACGTAAGAAGTCTAACTACCCTTACCATTTATTGCAATATTTATACAAAGAAAGTTATTTTTGAAGGATAATGGAGTAACAAACATGAATTATCATATAAAATATAAATATATCTATAATAAAACGTAATAAAAGTGACATAAAATTCAATCTTTTTTTTTAATTCTTTCAAAGCACTATTAACTTAATTTATCAGATTTCCATTATCACGGAATCTTATTGTACATTAAAACACGTGCCATTATATCCAATTTGATTATTATCCAAATTAACCATCTGCTATTTATATCGTCCGTGTTTCGCTCTTTCTCTATAATTATTGTGAGCGTTTAGACTGTGCCATTGTATACACTCAAGTGTTGGGATATTTTGTTCCTGAAGTGTTAAGATATAGCCAATGTGGTCCAGCAACTTATGGATATTAATAGTAACTGAGGCCCGTCAACGTGTTACAATGAAGTGATTTGTACGAGATGAATAAATGACGAGAGTGATAAGTAGAGTATGGTTATGAAATATTCTAAAAAAGAAAAAATGACCTGTGACATAGTGTTTCACGACAGCAGCGGGATAATTATTACGAGATGCTTTAAGCCACATGAGAGGTTAATTCACACATGAATACAGAATCCGAACGGTTTTAATTTGTGTAATTGAACCGTTCGTCCGTCCGTCTGTCCGGGCGAACATCCTATTCCGTCCATGATCTTAGTTAAAAAAAGAAGAAAATCCCATAAATCGACTTATTCATGTGGTACCCTTCGCTGTACAGTGCATTTATGCTCCTTTTGTTCTTCAGTTACACCAGGATTGGTGTTTCATAATTTGCATCAATTCGCTCCTTCTCACAGCTTTATCATATTATCCTTTATAAGTCTTCTTCAAATGGTTCATACTTCCCACTATCTGTAATAAAATTATTTGATTTTCTGCACGTTGACTTAAATAGAATACGATCACATGCGTACGCTATTAACATGATATTTGGCATACTTAACACCGTTTTTCTTTCTTCCCGATGTCCAAAATGGCCGATTAATACATAAACTCATTACAAATAAGCAAAAATAAATAACTAGAAACAAAGTTTTCTTCCGGTGACGATGAAAGCACATTAGCAATGCTGTCGAGATCCTGGTACATGCATATTATCCTGATGTGGGTGACTGGTCTCGTGTTCTCTCCTGGCATGCCCGGCATTCGGAAGACGGCACTCCATAGCATCTATCTGCATTGCCACTTCTCTTCCAGATTGCCGGAACTGAAAGGAATGATATTTAAAGACGTTTAATTCACATGTTGATTTGTAACAAGACAGCAAACACTTTCTAATTTAAAGTAAAAGGGTAAACCTATTTGAGAAGCAGGATTTTAATTTTATTGCGAAAATTTCAGATTTAAAGATTTTGTTGTTGTTTTTTTGTTTTTAAGCTTATTCAAATATTGTACCTTATGACTATTTTGAATAGTTTCCACTCACATCTTCCTTATTTTGGACAGTTTGATGTGTGTTTTTCCGACTTTGTATCTCTAAGACTGCTACTATATAAGGTAAAGAGCGCTTGCATCTGCGGCAATTCATCAAGATTCGATTTACTTTTGATACATTTTATCGACAAACATTTGTGTAACGTTGCACAAACGTGAATTTCTTGCAAAGATTTTTGCTATACATGTATGATAATTTATTGTACAATTTTATGGTACAAAAAGATAATATTAATTTATGAAGTATGGTCATACTTATTCACAATAAGATTTCAAGTATACCACATCAAAATACATGTAAATGTAAAAATATGGAGGTATTCTTATAAGACATATACAAAGGGCAATAAATCAATCAGAACGATAAGTTGCATATTTAACGGCTTTGATTTAAGGCTCTCTGTCCCCTACACCCACTCCCACCCCGACACCATACACGTTAGCTCATATACGCCGTAAACAGCTTAATTTGACCAGTTCCAAAGACCATATTCTGTATGGTCCTGGAGGAATTATCAGGTAAAAAACCAACTCGGCCCTATACCAAACCGGCACGGGTAAAAGTAGCCCTTATACAAGTTTCGGGAGGAACGTCAGCTAAAAATCGGCTAAGAATTTTGAAATGAGTAGGTCATATCTAAGAAGTCTGTGGACGGGTGAAGTTGGACAGTAGAAATTGACCAAGTCCAGTATTTACGAGGTTTATAAATATTTAATATCATCTAAATATACAATGTATACAATCTATCTATGAAAATATGCTATTGTTCATTGCCTCACGTAAGTAACTGTTCAAAGTAAAATGAAACACTTAAGTATATCTTGAATATGTCGAGAATCTGTAACTGTATTGAATAAATCCACCTGATTCAAATAATTTTCTGACATGTTTTAGCCATAGATCTTGAAACGTGACCTGCAAGTAGCCATGCTATGTCATTAAGCTTTATTCCTCGAGATACATCAGTAACTGTGTTTTTTTCATTCTGTCTGAAAAAAGTGGCCACATATATATATTATATCTCATGCAGGGCCTTTTGGAATTTGTGGCCACACTCCGGTAAGCACTCCGTAGTACTGATCATGAATCCTTATAAATAAAGAATTTTTCTTACTCGAGCAAAAAGACGATTTTTTACAATAATTGTTTGGTTTGGAGTTAAAAATCAGGGACATTTGTTTATATCGACAATTTGTTAATTTGTATGCAGGAATTGCACCGGAACTGGTCAAACAGCTTTGATTATGGATTTCAATCAGGTGGGATTTTTTCTTTTATTTTTACACCTGCACTTCAATTATCTTAAAACTTTCTGAAAACTACTTGAATTTATCATTTTTATATTTGCATAGGCTATTCCTTTGCTTGAGACTTAATTAGCGACCGTTTGACCATTTAACTGTCGATCATTTTAACGTACGGAAACTTTATCGGCAACACTGTTGTTAGATTTAATAGTCAGTAAACATCTTTCAGTTCTTCAAGAAATCATTAAAATATATATTCTGTTACTTATCTCAATCAAAACTTTTGCAACTAAATGATTATGCGCGATCTATGTCAGTTTTATTTTCATTCGTTGACCCGCATTGATTGACCTGTCATTTATGAATACATTATAGCACTCATTTAAATATTCACTCCCCTTTTGATTTTACGAGAATTAATAGCAATAGCACAGACGGTTAAGTGATTGCCTACTCTCCTGCGCATCGGTCGAATGTTCCACTATCGCTCACTTCTTACCTCTGCTAAAATTGTAGGTTCAGACCGATATTTTTATTTTTAGACAGGAAAATCCGTGTAGCTTACTTTTATGGTGTGGTGTCCAAGGGGCATACTAATCGACGGTCTCCACAAAATCGACGGTCTTTGACGGTCTCCAAAGACCGTCGAAGACCGTCGATTGATTAGTAGGTTATAACACAAATCGACGGTCTCGCGATGAATTGATAAGAATAATTTAGAAATAATTAATAATAGGTCAATTTTTTACGACGATACTTTATTTATGTCAATATTTAAGGATATTAGTGGGGGAAGAAATGATTAGATAAAAAGGGAAAAATATAAAAAATATGGGGAAATAAGGATATTGATATGCAGCAAATTAGATAAACAAATTAACAATGAAATATATTGAAATAACAAGGTCTTATATTTTTATTTAGATCTATATTATTATTATTATTATTATTATTAGTAGTAGTAGTAGTAGTAGTAGTAGCAGTAGCAGTAGCAGTAGCAGTAGCAGTAGCAGTAGCAGTAGCAGTAGCAGTAGCAGTAGTAGTAGTCATTGGAGTAGACGGTTGATTAGCAGGTTACTATACTAATCGACGGTCTCGTGATTATACATTAATTTAATGGATATTATATAGTAATTAATTAATTTAGCCGGTCAATAAGCAAATTCTCTAAGATGATAATTTATTGATTTCAGTATTTTTTTTCTATAATTTGTAAAATAGCAAATACGATTTAAAAATGAATAAGATAAATAATTTACATGCCATTTTTAAAAAAAAAAAAATATTTTTTTTTTTAAGACAATGAAATATATTGGAATATAAAATGCTATTAAATTTATTAATAAATATTAATGTCTAATATTTTTATTTATATCATTAGTAAAAGTAGTAATTAGTATCAGTAGTATAATTTCGATGTTTTAGCTTAAAAAATACATGTACATACATAAATTTGTGAGTTTATGCACATTTGTATATATTCTAAAGACATTCGAAGACCGTCAATGGGGAGAGGCCGTCGATTTGTAGTTTATAGATATCGACGGTCTCATGGTATATGTTTTTTCTCTCTTTTATCTTTTCCTTTTTCTGTTTTTTTTTTTTTTTTTTTTTTTTTGTTATTTTTTTATTTTCTTGTTTAAGGTCCATGTGTTTCTCTCTCTTTTTTTCTTTTCCTTTTTATTTTTTTTTATTTTTTATTTTCTTGTTTAGGTCCAAGATTTTATGTTACATGAACTCCCTCTATATTATTATTATAAGTAGTAGTATAATCTCGATTTTTTTTTTAATGTAAAAATCTATAAAAATGTGTTAGTTTACGCACAATGCAATTATTCCCTGCGGACCGAAGCCCGCAGGGTATTGGTACGCGTTTTATTTTTGAGGCATGGAGGAGCACGTGACCTGTTTTCGGTACATGGAGGAGCATGTGATCTGTACACCGTACATGATTGGTTAATTGACCTTTTCGAAAACCTAGCTAAATACCGTTTGCCCGGTAGGTTACGGATTTACCTCTAGGGTCAATTAGTCCGAATTACACCTAATTAAGAACATAAAACTATTACGTGATATTTCTAATATACTATAATTATTTTACCATTTAAGGTGAAAATACTGGCATGATGTATTTGAAAATTATCAATGTTTCTTTAATATCTACATGTGTATCTCAAATTTTACAGTGAAAATCTACAAAATTAAAACATTCTTAGTGGCAGCTGCCATAATAAAAAGTGATATTTTCTGCGTACACGTGTGTGTTTTCCCTTTTTTACATGGAATTATTCATACAATGGTATGTAATCATTTTCTTAAAAAGAAATAATTGTTTTATTTTCGACTTTCTCCGGTCTCTGGTCTTCAACGTTCACAAGTCTCCAAAGACCTTATTATTGTCAACAAATGTTTATTTTCCCCCAAACAATGTTGAAAATAGTTATATGAAATATATCATTAAAAATGTTACCTGCAGGAAACGGTCTCGTGGTATGGTTATGTCTCCAAAGACCGTTGGTTGTAGGAGACCGTCGATTAGTAGGTTACTATACGAATCGACGGTCTCGTGTTATTAATTTATGTAGCCAGCCAATAAGCATTTTCTCTAAGACGATAGTTTATTTGTGTCAATTTTTTTGATGATTTGTAAAAAAAGCAAATAAGATATTCCTTAAAAAAATGATATAATATAATTAATATGATTTATTTTGATGACTCAATTAATTGATAGATCATTGTTATTTTTCCAGATTTCCCCTTTTTGTATTTATGAGTGTTTTTTATTTGTATTTTTTTAAAATATCAACTTCATCGATAATATTATCACTTGTATAAGTAATAATAGTATACTCAGAATTATTTAAACAGAAAAAAATGTTAATTTGTAAGTTTGCACACAATTGTCTAAGACCGCCGAAGACCGTCAACAGGGAGAGACCGTCGATTATAGTCTACAGTGGTTTGATATATCGACGGTCTCGTGGAGACCGTCGATTAGTAGGTTACTACACAAATCGACGGTCTCGTGATTATACATGAATTTAATGGATATTATATAGTTATTAATTAATTTAGCCGGTCAATAAGCAAAACCATGTTTTTTCTCTCTTTATTCTTTTCCTTTTTCTTTTTGGTTTAAACATATTTATTTAAGCTCGATTGCGAAACAAGTTCTTGCAACTTATATTAATCACTTTCGAGTCCGCTTCCTGGAACCAACCAGTACTGGTGTCATATGGAGAAACATGGTCGTGACCCGAGTAGGGCTCGAACCCATGATCTCTGGGTTGAGAGGCAGACACCTTAACCACTAGGCCACCGCTCCCCTCTTTTTGTTCTTGTTTAAGGTCTAAGATTTTATGTTACATGAACTCCCTCTATATTATTATTATAAGAAGTAGTATAATCTCGATATTTTTAATTTAAAAATCTATAAAAATGTGTTAGTTTACGCACAATTGTATATATTCTAAAGACTCTCGAAGACCGTCAATGGAGAGAGACCGTCGATTAGTAGTTTCATAAATATCGACGGTCTCGTGGTATGGTTATGTCTCCAAAGACCGTTGATTGTAGGAGACCGTCGATTAGTAGGTTACTATACGAATCGACGGTCTCGTGTTATTAATTTATGTACATGAAACGATCATTAATAAATTTTTACTGGCTTAGAAAGGGCAGAGTTTAATTTATGGCTTAAGTTTATAAGTAACGTTGAATGTTTACTTTAAAAAATATATAAATATTGACAATACAGCTGAAATTCAAAATATGCACTTTACTTTTTTCATCGACAGTAAATTAGTGGAAGTACACATAAACAAACAACATCGCGTACGTAATTACAATTCCGCACGATCAAACACATACGGAAATAGCCGAAGGTTGTGGTAGTAATAAATATAACAAATATAAACTTACCACTTTTTAACAAATATATTAAATAATAATGCTTATAATACAAATGTCTGAGAGCGGATTGCCACTTTGAGGACTAATGTTTGAAATGTTCGTGCTATGTATATGATTGAGGAAATAGCAGAGGTAACATATGTTACCAACTGCCCCACAAACATATGCATGGCGATGGACAGGCACGCTGGTATGGCACAAAACCTTGTTAGCTTTTGCACAATATACTTCAGAAATAAACAAAAATACTTCTTTAGAAAGGTCAAACATTAGTTTATCGTTTAAATAATAGTTTTAGAGCATGCAAAATGTTTGTCATCTGAAGAAAATAGCGCTAAATGTAAAATGTTATAAAAGTAGCAAAATGTAAAAAGGTAATATTTTGAATTCCATACAAAATACGAAATACTAAGACACTATAAAAAAGGAGCCGATGAAGACGACAGGTCAGGTAATTGGCGAAAGAGTGACATGTTGGAAACTATAAAAGTGTGGGGAAAATGTCATGATTCTGAAATATATAAATGAAAACATTTCTGGTGCATAATGGGCTTTTAAGCATGTTTATTTTCAGCATTGATAATCAAATTACATTTGAATCAAATGTGTCACAAGAATTATTACTTTCATCTTCATTTATAACATTCAACAATAATATCAATAAACCAAATAAACATTAAATTGAATATGTACTGTATATTTGTGTATATGTTTATTACGAGAAACTATGTAATTTTAGTCAAAATGTTCTTTTTCTTCTTCTTTATTATTTTTATATGTAATATAATGTGATATTTATGTATATGTTTATTACAATTCTTAAATAACTGATCTTTTGAAGTATTTAACTAATCCGGAGAGACAGTATATGTATCATGTGTTATTTATAAAATACTTTTTTGTGCAAATTGTCTAATAAACATAAGACCTTTCAGGAAATAGTATTGATATTTTGCCATGCAATATTCGATCTGTATACATAATTCTTTGCTATTAACATTATTCCATAATTGATTGCATAAATGTCTACAATGTTCATGTTGTATTTTCACTTATGTACTTTGCCAGAGAAAGGATCGATCCTTTGATCCACTGATTTACGTGACTTGGTCAGTTAGAACATTAGACAAAATACGGTACCGATGTTTTCGCAAAACTGTAACGTTATGCCACTAATGTTGCTTATATATTTTTGTATAAATAAAATTTTGATGCTTTTAATGGATTTACTGAATAGTATTATTCAATGTATAGGTGTATTATGGTATTTTAAAAATGTAAAAAATATCTGCATTCATGTATTAATGACGCATTTTGCAAAGATCGTGTTATATTTTGTTGACTTCAATGAACATCTTAGTGTTTGAAATTATTTTTTGCCCGATAGTATTGCAGAATTTCAAATGAATCATAACACATTTACTTTGGTAAATCGGCCAACTGTTAATCAGTCTAGTAAATCGACTGTTCATAAAAATTATTTTAAACACTCAGCCGGTTAAAATTCATAAGTACGTATTTACAAAATTAAATTGGTCGCGCGGCTGTGCCGCTCCTGAACATTCAATTTTGTAAATACGTACTTGTAAACTTTAACCTATACCTAAACTGACAAAATATCATCATATCTAAAAATTCAAATAGAGATTATATGTAGAAAAATATATGATTATGTTAGGATCCTTAGATTTTGAAATTGAGTAGCGAAACAAAAACAGAAAATTATGTTAGTGACAATGAAATCTTAAATCATTTTTCGGGTTTTATGTGCGAAAAGCATTGTGTTATAGCCAGGATAAATGTTTCGTACCTGCAACAGAAGATATTATTTCCATTTGTAGATAATTATTGACTTTTGTTTATAAACTAACTTTCTCGATCTATCATTACATTTGATACCTGAATAAATATACCGATTTGTAGCTTTAAATTGACAGAAAATTAAAATACTTTCAATTAATGCACCATTGTCTTAGAAAGGAAAATGGTGGATTTCGCAGGCATCTTAGCGTGAAACTGATAACGATCGCTGATTAGCTTATCTCTGTGACCCCTGCCAGCTTGATTGACAGGCGGCGTAATGTTTATTTTCTTCACATTAGCTGGTATTAACAGATTTTTAAAACCAAAATTGTGCTATTAAGAAATCGATTCTAATAAATTTCTGAAATATTTTTTTTGTAGTTTGTTTAACTTTTCTTGTGCAAAATTGCAAAATTTATTATAAACTATTCTCTCACTTTTTTACATTATTCCATAAATTGATTGCATAAATGTGTATTATGTTTTATTTTCACTTATGTACTTCGTAATTTGAAATTTATTAGCTGGTTTAATTTTATTTACATTGCCTTTAATTGTGTGTTTTTTTGTTTATATTTGCATTTTGTATATTTCGTAAACCATTAATTTTGCCTTTTCCATTTGTCAGTTCAACAGGTCATTTGTCAATTCAACAGATTTGATTATTTTAAACATCGTTTTTCTTTGCATTAAGGAAAAAATAGGCTTTTTATGTTTTTATATTTTTATTTCCAGACAGAAGTTGACGATTTTTTTCCCATTCTAATAAATTTCTTTAATTATATTTTTGTTACTTTTCTAACTTTTCATGTGCAATTATTTTTGAAATACATTATCTCACATTTTTTATTTTAATAAAGTTAGGTTGGGCCACGAGAGAGTTCCTCCTCGTGGTGTGGGGTGGATATTACATTTCGCAAACAGTCAAATCCGTTATTTATTTTATTTACATCTACCCATTGGCGAAATGTAATAACTGAACGCTCTCAACAAATTATATTAAATTTTCCACGGAGAAAACCAAAAACATGTTTATGTTAACGATTATTTTATTTTTAGAAAAAAAAATGCTTATTGACCACATTTTACCTATTTCGAAATTCCAATTATGTAATAAATCTCGTATAATAACCTATTAATCGACGGTTCTAACGTCGACGGTCTTTTGTTGTGAATATTTTTACATATATTAAGTCAAACATGTATTTATTTCATTAAGACAATTAACTGATCATTGTTGAATTACAACTGAACAAACACAACATCTAAATTCTATAAATATATTAATAACCATTGAAAATTTCATTTTTTTATTACTCTATTTGTTTTTTAATCAAAAATACCCGTTAATCACTCTAAACTATTGATATAAATCACTGAAAAGTGTTATTGCCTATTGGTCATTCTGTCTAATTACGTATATAATCTGGAGACCGTCGATTTGTGTTACAACCTACTAATCGACGGTCTCCTACAATTAACGGTCTTCGACGGTCTTTGGAGACCGGGGACCGTCGAAGACCGGAGACCGTCAATTAGTATCCCCCGAATTGTCACGTACCTGAATTTGACTTGCCGTAATGTAAACAATGCGTGTTCATTTGTACTTTACTTCAAATTGTTTGTTTTAAACGTTTCTATTAAATGACCAAAAATGGTAAACTCGCGATGATATATTATTTACGGATAGTCAATTGTAATGGAATCTACGTAAACGGAAGCTCAATACGAATAATGGTCCGCATATTCTGGCTGCAAGAAAGTCGATCCACGTACGTCAGGCCGTTAAAATTATTTTTCTTATATTTTCTCAGATGACCAGT